AATGTTTGTTGCAATCACATACACTGTACTAGTATTATACTGTTTATGTTACAACAGATCATTTGATAAACATAAAATTTATATATACCGGTATATATATATATGCAGTTTTGATGACAGTGATACTTTAAGTTGAAGACCTTTTAGAATAAATCCAATACCATATTTAGTCAGTGAATTACACAATTGTAAAAGCTTACTTTTTCAGGGCAGGTAATGGTCTCTCATCATTAACTGGTTCTGGCTGTCTTTGTGGCGGTGGTTGACGTGGACTTTCTTGTATTGTTTCTAAGGTCGGTGGTGGTGGTGAATATTCTCTTGGTGGTGTTCGTAATTTATCACGCTCAGACTGTAAAACAAAGAACAAACAATTAACAACAAAGTCATATTTTAATAATCCAGCAGAAAATAAATCAATTTTTTGTTGATGTGTACTTCTATGAGAGATGCACAGAGTGAGTAGAAAAATAGAAAATACGGATAGCTAAAATTTGGGCTTGTTTTTTCATATTTATGAGAATTGTTATTGACTGTGGAAATTACACATAAGAAAAATATAATATGACACATTTTTCAGTAATTTCTGTTGATGCTTTACTCTCTGATTTGTCTTCAATGTTGTTTTAATTTTTGGCAGCCACCATCACTACCTATGGAAATTACAAGTCTCATCTCATCCAATTCTTTGTGAATTTTGTTTATTAAAGAGACTGACAGAAATAACTTTTCCTACATAAATTTTGGTACAATATTTTACACATCTGTGCATATTTTTTTTTGTTTCAAATTGTCAAAACTTCCTACTGGCTACAGGTCTTGTTTCAAATTTCAAGAGAACTATGGTACAAATTATGGTTCATTTTGTGAAAATGACAACACTTGATATTGACGCTCAAGAGAGAACTGTTTTAATTTCATGAGAAACAAATTTTGATGAATTTCAAATTGTAAATTTTGGAATTACTTTCACTGGAACTCTTTAGGCAAGTCAAGTCACTGAATTTTGTAAAATTACACAACTCACAGATACAATCAAACATTTAGTAGGTAGTGACAGTACGGTATCTTTACTTACATCTTTAGGTGGCCAAAATAGTTGCTTGAAAAGTAAAAATAGTCGGGATAAACCAGTGAAACATTAGCAGTGCAGATAAGATGTCAATCACACACAGTTTGTAATTTCAGAGGGTAATATAAAGATGACAAGTTCTTAAATATTTGACGTACTAAGTATATGCAAGAAAATTAGACTCTATATAGAAGAGCCAAATGTCAACACAATTAGTACAATCTAACTTAATATTAAGCAGACTTTGCTTGTTATAGAACCCAGCAGTGTACCTTGTTGGCGCATGCATTGTATTAGTAACACGTTTCAGGACAATAATTGAGATTTCTGTTAGAGACCCTGTAGCCAAATGGGAGGAAGCAGTGACATGTGAAGTTTAGCGGAATGGAGAGAACAAAGACCTGTGAAGTTAGGCAGAACTGAGAGAGCAGTGATCTGTGAAGTTAGGCGATTAAGGATGCGGTAGATGCGGTATTTTTGTGAATTTTGCTTTTTTTGTTATTACTTTTGTAAAGTTATTGGGCTCATAATGTTATCAACATTAAAACTGAAACACATCTAGAATACCTTTTTTTTTTAAAAATAAGAAAAACTACTTGTATAACGGGATATTGTACACTTTGTTTTTGAGATAAAATTCTGGATGCAAACAATAACATTGACTTATTGCGTAATTTGCATAATCCCTTCACGACGGAAACAGTGCACACTCAGCTGAAGACGACGCGGTCATATCAACTCCGGCTCCTGATTATTGGTCAATCACAAAAAAGAGGTCCCCAAGAAAAAACTCAAAACGCAGTTCAGAGGAAGCGAAACTTTACCGATAACAGAAACGCATTGCCGACAGTATTCAAATCAAGAGGGTAAAATTTCGTCCGCAAAACATGATCAATTTCTATCTTCCAAAAAGTCGGGCAGACAATTTAATATCAACCGAAATTCTGTATTGGTCAGACGAGCAGTTGGGAGAGGTCTGCGAGGTTTGAAAAAACTAGTGGTTTATGTGGGATTACCGTCGGGCCACCCATCGACAAAGGTCCGTACAAGAACGCCGTTTCCGAAGTTGCGGTGGAAGTCGAGTGTCTGCTAGAACAAGACAAAACGTCGGATGTTGTTGAGTTAACTAGCACTAGGGGTTGGCGTTTAGGCATGTCGACTTCTTTCTCCGGTTACTAGGCAAGCGTTTGTTTTACAGACCATGCTTCGCATGTAAACATGATTTGAATATATAATGAGATGACGTCATTTATCTCTCTAACTGTTCAACGTTATGTGGGGCCGCTGTGTACTGAAACAACTTTGCATCTTTTTGGAGGACGAACACGAGCCCAAAAATTTATAGTTTTGGATTTTAATACTGCAAGGCTACTAAGTGACTCCATGTTATGTGTTTTGTTGTAAAAATCAGTCCATCTGATGCTTTAAATGTCCAAAATTAGCGCAACGTGACAAATGTTTTGTTTTTTGGCGTTTTCAGGCAGAATGAAATCTAACGCCATAGAGGTCATTCAAGTGAGTTGTGCGTTGTCAGAAATTGACCTACTTTCATGAAATTCACACAGATTGATAACATATTGGCGCAGAATAAAACCCTTGAAGCATTTTTTGATAACTTCTTGCAATGAAAAATAAAAGGCTTTTAAATTCCTTGTCTATGGGTGAAATACCAGGAAAAATGTAAATTGATGTAATTGTAAACAAATATGCAATCTATGTTCTAACACTCTTGAGGCATTGACGGGGCTGATGCTGCCTTGATTTTTCAGCTTTCTTTTTTAACAAAACTCCTACGGTTTTTATACAAAACTCATTTTTATTCAAAATAACACCTCCATGTTTACTTAGTAATCACGTGACTAATTCGTGGTACATGTCGCAGATCATTTTTTTCAAAATGCCGGGAAGAAGGGCTTCAAGAAAATATATAATTTGCTATGCTTCAAAACACTTTTCCTCATGAAAACAGTTTTTACTTTTTAGAGCATGATAACTCTACCGCATTCTTAAGTGCAGTTTTTTGTTGCAAGTATTGAACACAGTGTTTACTCTATTATATACATGTTTATTTGGGTGATTTACTCTGATATTACAGCACAGTGTTTTTGATTACCGGTATATTATTTGCTTTGATCACAGATAAACTCACTTAAAAAAGTTTTAAAAAACTAACTGGTGTGTTGTTTATTTAAGTGTTGACTATAATTGTCTGCAGTAAATTTTGGGTTGCAAGAATGAGGTACTGGTAGATATTACAAGATTTTGTGTGTAAGGCGATGGTGATTTACCATAAATAATTAAATATGCAGGCTAATTTATTTCATACATGCAGACACTTATGGACTCTTCAGTGATATGTATTTAGATTACTGTCTAACATATAAAATACAAGATATAAAAAGTTATATCAGAACCAACAAGGTCAATGTCCTGACTGACTGAACAGCAATGCTGATGTACAATGTGCAAAAAACACAATATCCTTTCTCTTAGCAGTACACACTTAACCAAGCAAAGCCTGACTCCCTTTAAAACAAACCCCAACTTATTGATACTCATTTCATTAATTTGATTGAATTTGTAGAAAATAAAACTTTTTAATAAACATTTACTCAACTGTGTTACATTATCACTACCAGACATCTTTGTTAATTAATAATTTGGAACTAATTTTTCTAAAAGGACATACAGTATTCTAAAGCAACTCTTTTCTTGTTTCTCTCAATGATTTTTTTATTCTTCAAAATTTGAAAATACATCTTTAATAATATAGGTTTAGAAAATAGAGAAAATTAGAAATGTTATGCATCACTGTTTGGGGTGTTAAACCCTATCAAATTGATAAGTACAAATATCCAAACTAAGGGTTTTATCAGTTATAGAGACAACAGCAAAGAAATGGGAAAACACCAGTTAAAAAATGATAAAAATATGAAATAGAAAAGAGAAGGTGGGAAGCTGAAGAGATGGAAATACTTGACTTCATCTCAATATGTATGTTGATATCTGAAACAGACACAGGAAAGATACGGTGAAATTGGACAGTCAAAAATTACCATCACTCAACCACAGTCCCGTGATAGAAGGACTGTGACTCAACCAAATTATGCCAGCATGCTGTAGAGGGAGTCAGGCTGCATGTACTATTCTAATAAGAAACAAAATTGTTGTGAACAAGAATTAAAGAGTCAACTATTGTGCATATTAGATTTTGAAGAACTTAATAAGCCTTGATGATTCAACCATTTTATTTCAGTTTTTATTAATTCAATAATTTTTGTATTTATGAAAAAGTTTGTTGTTCTGCTGTCTCACACACAGCAGCAAACTATTCACTGAAGCCAAATCTTCTGACACACCCAAGGTCAAATGTCAAACCAGACTGCAAGGTTGTACAAAAGATTGATAGTTACTGTAATGCTGTCAGTTTAATAAACCAAACACTGACGCAACATTGTCAAAACTTACTCTTGTTATATCCAGTAAATCATGAAGTTCAAGTTGTTTATAAATTTGGAGACGGTACTCGTCCATCTGCATCTTCTTTATTTTAGCTAAATCATAATCTTCATTTTCAACAGCCCTTCTTTTCTCAACTTCAAATCTGCCAAGTTTTTCCCCAACCTAGAGAAAATACATCAAATATGAAATCATGTACAAGTATGACAGTTATAAGAATAAATATACAAACAATTTACAATTTATGACAATTTTCCTAACAGTTATTACAATAGGTTGTGCTGTACTATGACAAGGAAAACATGGATGTGAAAAAAAATATTATGAAACAGCTAATAAACAAAGTTGTTGACTGGTTATCTTATTTCTACATCACTGTATTTGTCACACCCACCCCAGTTATTGATGATTGTCAAAATAAGAGACCAAAACCATTAGTCTAGTGTCACTGATACAGAGACGACACTTTGAGAAACCTTTCCATATCATCTAAGAGCAAATGATCTTCTGTGCACTGATAACAACACCTACAGTACAGTTCTCGCGAAAGCTTTGGCTTTTGTGGCATCATTGTCGCCTACGCACGGCTTCATTGTCGCCTCAGCATCGCATCATTGTGGCATCAGCTTCGCGTCATTGACAATTGAAGCTGTGTTCGCCTCGCTTATTTTGTGGCATCATCGTGGCTTCAGCTTCGCAGTCTCATGGCATCAACATGGCATCAGCTTCAAAGTATTGTGACATGAGTATGACCTCATTATTTTCACATGGAAAGGCAGTAGAGAAAAACACATGTACAGAAGTTCGATATGTAATCGATTTGAAATTCAAGGCGATAAGGGGAATAAAATAATATGACCAAGAGTAAAATGTCATTTTAAAAAGATATCTTGTTTAATTATTTAATGTTGCGAGTATTGGGTATCAAAAACTATGTGAAGTACATTGCAATCTGCAAGGTGACGAGTGTCACATTAACTGCAAGAAAAATCGTGATAAATTTAAATCACACGATGTAATCGTCGTTCGGAAACAACACAATTTGCTATACGAAATGAAACTGTTCTTGTTATAAAATTACCTTATTTTCGTTCATTTTATTTCCTGGTAAGAGAACAGATTCAGATTCCTCATTTCAGTGGTATTTTTCTGTGTTTCGTTTAGTTTTAGCCGAGTCCGATCCCATGCCCGGACTACTAGTAATACATGCAAAACACACGTACGTCGCCTGGTGCGTCGGCGTTGTCGCCTACCATCATGATACAAAGTTCCAAAACAAGTGCGTACATTTCTAACTATGATTGGATGGTTGTGGTAGCGTCGGTCCGGTAAAATTTTACATCTAATTTTCAATCTGAGCTCGATCTATACGTACTTTAAAAGTATTCTCACAAAAAATATTTTCGAATAAAAACGAGCCACATGCCCTGTAAAAAATCGAATAGTACTTGACATGCAGAAATAATTTATTGGGCTTAAGAAAAAAAAAACGTGTCCATTTAGTTGTAGCCGTAAATATTTGGTGACCAGTCGATGAACAATTTGAAACTCATGATACACGCAGAAGTCCTTCGATACTGAATATCATCGACCCCAATCTGGTTTACCTTATTTCCCAACTTGCAAAACTGATTTGTATTTCAGCCCAGTTTTTTTCTTCCTTTTTTTGAACTGAGGTCAAATCCCAGCCGTTTGTCAAAATATACCGATGTTTTTCAGTGAATAATTGTGAAGCCTGTCACAGCACAAAAAAACTATGTGAATCGACGCCGGAGATTGGATGGTACGACGACCATTAAATTAGCGTCAAATATGCTTTGTTACAACATCATTGATTGGCTGAGAGTCACCTGATCGAGGCACGACCTGGGTCACATAACCATATTTGTTCGTATTATCAACAGGACTTTGCGAGAGAACCACACCCACATATTCAACCATTTTAGCGCGGAAGTTACCAACAAATGTCAAAAACTCATGAATTTTATGGATTTGAATAAAATAAAGCTAGCGATTGGCAAGACTGGTTAATAATATATCCCACGATGCTCTTTGAATTTTTTAATTTTATTTCAAGGAGAGAAATGGATAATTGAAGTTCTATCGATTTCAAGGCGACTGTTTCACCGCGACAACTCTACCCTGTGTTGTAGTTTCGTGAGATGAAAAAAAAATATAATAAATAGTACTTGTTTAATTATTTCGTTTTACAGCCCGCAAATCACGGGACATGATCCCCACGAATTGCGATAAATAAATGCTGATTGTGTTGAATGACGGACGTCGGGACTGTTTGGAGAAACCAACAGGGATCGATATTCCAAACCGTGAAACAAATTATTGGAATAAATGAAATTATTAACGAAAGACGAGATTTTTCCAGATATTTACGAACATACTGTCATACCAAATATATGCAAAATTGACAAATACACAGAGATATTAGGTTTTATTTTAGCCTTAGAAATATTTTCTTTCACTCAGTACATGCGTGGGACTTCTATTTAGCTTCATGGACCTTCGGCTTGTCTTCTCCTTGGGGAAATAACAATAATTATACAAATCGTAAACTCAACACAGTCAGGAAAAGAAACCCAGACAACCATGTCGTACTTCTGTTGAAATACATTTTGTAGCAGTACGTCATGTCAGAATATTGTTTAAAATAAAATAGTCAATCCCAGCCAAATCTAGGTCAAAGGGTCAGATTGCATGCATATAATTATAGATAGTTAAAACAAAAAAGTATTTGAACTTTTGGTGGTTGTTCAACATCTATGCATGGTTACTAAACTAGTAACCGTGATCTATGAAAACTAGAAAATTGTTAGTAGTCCGAATTTTTGCACAGTCAAAAATAAAGCGGAAATTCAACAAGCAGTCGCAAAAGCGAGCGATTGAAAAGCGAAACAGGCGAGAGGTTGGGCGAAACGAGTTCTGTACTTCTTTGTTTGATGAAGCGATGCTGATGCCACATTGTCGCCATAATGAGGCCACAATGAAGCGAAGCGATAACCGCCTAATTTTTTAATGTCGCAACATTGATGCGATGCTGAAGCTATAACAATGCCATAATAATGCGATGCTGAAGCCAAGGTGAAGCTGAAGTGAAGCCAAAGCTTTCGCGAGAACTGTACTGTACATGTATATTCATTTCTGATATGTATGAACACAGTCATTTTATGTTTATAGAAGTTGAACAAGCTAGTTTGCACTTTGTGGACAATATAAAACAAGTACAGGTGGAATTCAATCTTATCCACGGTGCTTACCTTCTGTAAGTCAGCAATGGCCTGTTTTAGTCTCTTGGCAAGGTCGTATCTTTCTTCTGTGTCAAAATAAAAATAATAATAAGTAATTATTTAATTATTAATATATGTGCCTGGATGCCACTAGAGGGAGCTATGCCTGTCACTAGAGGGAGCCATGCCTTTCACTAGAGGGAGCCATGCCTTTCACTAGAGGACGCCATGCCTGTCACTAGAGGACGCAGTGACCCACCAATCTGCAGTGATCCTACATTCTGCAGTGACCCACCACTCTAGTGACCCTACATTCTGCAGTGACCCACCACTCTAGTGACCCACCACTCTGTAGTGACCCACCATTCTGTAGTGACCCACCATTCTGTAGTGACCCACCATTCTGTAGTGACCCACCATTCTGTAGTGACCCACCACTCTGTAGTGACCCACCACTCTGTAGTGACCCACCACTCTGTAGTGACCCACCACTCTGTAGTGACCCACCACTTCAGTGACCCACCACTCTGTAGTGACCCACCACTCTGCAGTGACCTACCACTCTGCAGTGACCTACCATTCTGCAGTGACCCACCACTCTGCAGTGACCCACCACTTCGCAGTGACCCACCACTCTGCAGTGATCCACCACTCTGCAGGGACCCACCACTCTACAGTGACCCACCACTCTGTAGTGACCCACCACTCTGCACTGACCCATGCTCTGTAGTGACCCACCATGCTACAGTGACCAACCACTCTGCAGTGACCCACCACTTCGCAGTGACCCACCACTCTGCAGTGACCCACGACTTCGCAGTGACCCATCACTTCGCAGTGACCCATCACTTCGCAGTGACCCACCACTCTACAGTGACCCACCACTCTACAGTGACCCACCACTCTGCACTGACCCACCACTCTGTAGTGACCCACCACTTTACAATGACCCACCACTCCAGTGACCACCATTCTGCAGTGACCAACCACTCTGTAGTGACCCACCATTCTGTAGTGACCCACCACTTTGCAGTGACCCACCACTCTGTAGTGACCCACACTCTGTAGTGACCCACCACTTTACATTGACCCACCACTTTACATTGACCCACCACTCTGCAGTGACCCACCACTCTGCAGTGACCCACTACTCTGCAGTGACCCACCACTCTGCAGTGACCCACCACTCTGCAGTGACCCACCACTCTGCAGTGACCCACCACTTTACAGTGACTCACCACTCTGTAGTGACTCACCACTCTGTAGTGACCCACCACTCTACAGTGACCACCATTCTGCAGTGACCCACCACTCTGTAGTGACCCACCATTCTGTAGTGACCCACACTCTGTAGTGACCCACCACTTTACAATGACCCACCACTTTACAATGACCCACCACACTGCAGTGACCCACCACTCTGTAATGACCCACCACTTTACAATGACCCACCACACTGCAGTGACCCACCACTCTGTAGTGACCCACCACTCTGCAGTGACCCACCATTCTGCAGTGACCCACCACTCGGTAGTGACCCACCATTCTGCAGTGACCCACCACTCTGTAGTGACCCACCACTCTGTAGTGACCCACCACTCTGCAGTGACCCACCACTCTGTAGTGACCCACCACTCTGCAGTGACCTACCACTCTGCAGTGACCCACCACTCTGCAGTGACCCACCACTTCGCAGTGACCCACCACTCTGCAGTGATCCACCACTCTGCAGGGACCCACCACTCTACAGTGACCCACCACTCTGTAGTGACCCACCACTCTGTAGTGACCCACCACTCTGCACTGACCTACGCTCTGTAGTGACCCACCAGGCTACAGTGACCAACCACTCTGCAGTGACCCACCACTTCGCAATGACCCACCACTCTGCAGTGACCCACGACTTCGCAGTGACCCATCACTTCGCAGTGACCCACCACTCTACAGTGACCCACCACTCTACAGTGACCCACCACTCTGCACTGACCCACCACTCTACAATGACCCACCACTCCAGTGACCACCATTCTGCAGTGACCAACCACTCTGTAGTGACCCACCATTCTGTAGTGACCCACCACTTTGCAGTGACCCACCACTCTACAGTGACCCACCATTCTGCAGTGACCCACCACTCTGTAGTGACCCACACTCTGTAGTGACCCACCACTTTACATTGACTCACCACTCTGCAGTGACCCACCACTCTGTAGTGACCCACCACTCTGCAGTGATCCACCATTCTGCAGTGACCCACCACTCGGTAGTGACCCACTACTTCGCAGTGACCCATCACTCCGCAGTGACCCATCACTCCGCAGTGACCCATCACTCTGCAGTGACCCATCACTCCGCAGTGACCCATCACTCCGCAGTGACCCACCAGTACGCAGTGACCCACCACTCAGCAGTGACAGCAGTTGCAACAATTCATTCTTTTTAGAGAATTAAACATTTAACCTTTTAACAACTTTTGAGATCTTTCATAGATCTAGAGAATTATGTACAATTGGTACAAAATTAACAAGACAAATTATTTTGTTCAAATGATAAATAACTTACGTAGTACTGCTTCATTTTTTCTTACATCAAGCTTGCGTATAATCTGGGCTACTTCTGGATCCTGGTACATATCAAAGGCTAGGTCATCCATAGGGGATATATAATCTGGTCTAAAATAGAAACAAATTATGTACCACATTCACTCTCTTTGGAATGCACTGTAAGATTACATCTATAGAATCAGAATTTGGAATCTAAACATTGACCACCATTAAGGTTCTATGGGTTCTAAGCTATGTATACAACACATTTCGCATTTATTCCAATTTGACAAGTTTCTGACGTAATCAGACATGTGACATAAATACACAAATTATATATTTTCCGCATTATTAATTATTTTTAATTAATTTTGACTCCAGTTAAAGAATGGCAAAAATACTTGATTTTGATGTCATGTGACCATCTTCATTGGGTCAGGAAAGAAATTCAAGTGGATATATTTGACATGATGTATAGCGTATTTGTGAAGTTTGAAAACAAAATAGCCACTAGTCAGCCATTTTGAATCTGATAAACAAAACAATGTGCACCAAGGTACCTTTATGTATTTACAAAATTTAAACAAATTTGTCTATGCACGACTGGCTACAGAATGGCGGAAATGCTTGATTTTGATGAATTTATCTTGAATAAGATACATGTATGCATGTGCATCAGTATTTCATAGTGTATAAAGTGTGTTTAAAGTTTGAACGTGATTGGTCCTGGCATGTCAGAGATACATAATAATATAATAATAATAATAATAACTTTATTGCATCCTTAGAAATACAATGTTTCTATCAGTTAATAGCGATAAAGATTAGTTGTGATAACTACTACTATAAAAGAAAGTTATTTGTTAATGGGATAAAACAAGTGTTACATATCAAATGGCATTTTCACTCCTTGATTGAAATGCATTATGAATATAATTGCCAATCTTTTTTATTATTACATCATCTTTTGAAGTCATCAAGAAATTAAATTTCTGGAGAT